TCCTAGTGCAAATAACAGTAAAATAAAGGTAATGATAATAATCAATGACATTAGCTTAATAATGGTAAGGGAGCTTCCGATTACACAATATTTATGATAATGATGAGAGCGGAGAAAGCAAATGATGATGAATGATAATGATGATGGTGAGATAGTAATGATATTGATAATGATAATAACATGCCTAATATTCCTGTCTTTCTCATTGCATATATCTCTGTCTATTTATCTATATATCTATATTCATATGCTCTCTGTCTGTCTGTCTCCTCTCTCCTCTCTCTCTCTCTGTCTTCTCTCTCTCTCTCTCTCTTTCCTCTTCCTCTCTCTCTCTCTCTCTCTCTCTCTCTCTCTCTCCTCTCTCTCTCTCTCTCTCTCTCCCTCTCTCCTCTCTCTCTCTCTCTCTCTCTCTCTCTCTCTCTCTCTCTCTCTCCTCTCTCTCTCTCTCTTCTCTCTCTCTCTCTCTCTCTCTCTCCCTCCTCTCTCTCCCTCTCCTCTCTCTCTCTCTCCACTCACACACACACACACTCAAATGCAACAAACCCAAACCCGACGCACGTGCAGCTGCAAGAGTGCGCTGCCCAGACACCTTTGATGTCAACTTTGCGAGTTTCTCATTCGCTTTGCCTTTCATCACACTCCATCTCATTTAAAAGAAAAATCGTGATTAAGTTTGCATTTTTTTTTTTTTTACACTCATAGAATATTATATGTGATTTTTTTGGGCACATGTGAATCACTGGTATGGATGTTATAGTCAAAAAAAACCAAAAAAACGAAATAAAGACTTTTTTTGAACGAAACAGATGGAAAATATTCGGGAAGATCGTAGCTGACCGCTCAGTCTTTTTTTTTTCTAAATGTTACTACTGCAACCACACATCACTGATATCCTAACACCTATTCGTATAATCCGAAACCATCAACAAAGCAAATTAATCCATTCACAAATTCTCAAATTTTTCATCTCCAACTCACATTCCAACGAAGACTCTTAAAAACCAAGATCCGAAAAAAAGCACGAGCGCAACCTCCACGTCTTCCCTCCGCCGTGTCTGGCGTCACACTGGCCTCGGCTTCCATCTGGGACGCGACTGCCACTTCCTCTCCCGCCCAGGACGATTAAGGTCAGGTCACGCTACCAGTACCCTTGGGAGTGCAATATTCCCCTGGAAGACTCGCTTAAAAAGTGTAGAATATGTGACGAAAGATTTAGACATAATTTGCAACACTATGTAACGGGATGTCAATACAAAGAACCTTTCAGAAAGGGAGTTAGAGAAATGATACCAATGACAAAGCATATAATTAACGTAATTGATAACATTTTAAGGATATACAAACAATTTGCATCTGTAAAATAATATGAGCGCAATTGTAAAGATCTTGCCCAAGGATCTATAAGGTGCTACATACACAGTCACTCCAAAGGGGTTGGGTATGTTTGGGTAATGAATATTTATCCAAATAAACTGTTCAAAATCAAATCAGGAGGTCCCGGATGAGGTCACGATAGAGACGGGAATAATAATAATAATGGTAATGGTAATGATGCTGACGGTAATGTAACGATAATGGCAGGAGTGATAAGAATGGTGAAAATAATGGCAGTATCGATAACCATCATGGCAGTGGCGGTAATGGTCATGATGACAGCAATAATACTGTAGTTGCGACCATAATGATAATGATGGCAAAAAAATGACAGTAAGGCTACCAGTTCTGACAATAATGACAGTAGTAATAATAACATTAATAATGTAGACAATATTGCTTACAACGATGACTATGATGGTGCTATAAATAATCATAATAGTGATGACCATAATGATAAACGTGATAACCTAATGAGAGTTTTAATTACGACGGTGATGATGATGACAATAGTGACAATCATGATAACAGTAAGTTGATTTTCAATGCCTTTTTCTCCTATTCCTTCATTTCCCTCTTTCTTTGCAGTCGTTTTCTTCTCTTTCGTCATTATTCTCCTCCGCAGTCGCTTTCTTCTCTTTTTTTTCATTTCTCTGTTTCTCCTCATTCGTTTTCTCCTCTTTCATCATTTTTCTCTTTCTCTGCAGTCGTTTTTTCCTCTTTCTTTATTTCCCTCTTTCTTTGCACTTGTTTTCTCCTTTTCGTTCGTTTCCCTCTTTCTCCGCAATCGTTTTTTTCCTCTTTCCTCATTTCCCTCTTTTTTTGCAGTCGCTTTCTCCTCTTCCTTCCTTTCCTCTTTCTCCTCTTCCTTCACTTCCTCTTTCTCCTCTTCCTTCACTTCCTCTTTCTCCTCTTCCTCACTTCCTCTTTCTCCGCAGTCGTTTTTTCCTCTTCCCTCTTTCTTTTCTCGGCAGATTTCGAGGACGAAGGATAGGGAATCACGTTCTATGCCTTTTCTCGTCTTCGTTTGTTCTCTGTTTATCGCAGCTCTCTCTGCTCTCTTCTTTCTTCTTTACCCTTTTTCTTCTTGTCTCCCGTTCGTTCTTTCTCTTTCTCTGTCTGGTTC